AGCCTTTGCTGGATCCAAGGCGGCTTGGTGGCAAAAGGAAACTCCAGCCTCTGCCACAAGACTGGCCACACAGCCCGCCTTGTGACAGGTGAAGGCACCACACAGATGACCCTGGGAGTCTTTCTAAACTTCTCTGGCCTGAGACCCTCAGTCTCCTCTGAAAGACTCTTTTGCTGGGGCATCTGTAAATAAACTTTGCCAAGGGAACCTGCTGAAACAGATGAGCTTTGCCCAAGAGCATCCTCTTTCTGTGGGGACATTTTTCCAGGAGCATTTGGGCCCAGCAAAATGTCAGGTGGGCAAGGTGTGGCCCCTTCTGATAGGAGGTATGTTTTCTCTTATGTAATCTCAGCAGGGAAGGCTGCCAGCTTCTGGGCCATGTGGGACTCAGTCTAAGGAAAAATGACTGTAAGACCCTCCTGGTAAACCACCTCTTCACATCACTGAGGAGAGCGGGTACTGGCCACAACTGCTGGCTATTTATCTGGGAAGATGCTATTTACAAATAGAGAAGATATATTTACTGGCTGGGCAAGGCTGAGGACATCTACACTCTCATCCTCCTTATTTATAAGATGAAGATCACGGTCGTTCCCTCTCAAGGTTATTGCAAGAGTGAATGAGATTATGAATACAAAACACTCAAAATCTATAAAGCATCTTCAAACACGGAAGATGATGGACTCTGCATTTGTACAGTAGAAATATCAGTACTGTGTGCTGGGCGCAGTGGCTCACCCCTATAATCCTAGCACTCTGGGAGGCTGGGGCAAAAGGATTCCCTGAGCTCAGGAGTTCAAGACCAGCCCGAGTAAGAGGAAGACCTCCATCTCTACTAAAAACAGAAAAATTAGCCCAGCATTGTGGTGGGTGCCTGTAGTCTCAGCTACTAGGGAGGATGAGGCAGGAGGATCACATGAACTCAAGAGTCTGAGGTTGCTGTGAGTTAGGCTTATGTCACAGGTCTAACCTGGGCAACAGAATGAGACTCTGTCAAGAAAAGAAGGGAGGAGAGGAAGGAAGATGGAAAGAAGGAAGGAAGGAAGAGAAAGACAGAAAGAAAGAACAGTACTATGGTTGACGCTGCTGGTGCCTCATCAAACTTTCACTGGACCAGTGAATTCACACCAGCTGCTGTGAGAGGTGGCTGCTGACAGCTGACAGTTACTACCTATCCAGACACTTCCCTCGACTGAATGGAAGCTGCCTTGCTTAGGGTCCTGAAGCCAATGATTGTCTGACATAGGAACATGAACGTCCAGCCCCCCAACCTAAAGACGAGATTAGCTCCAGTGAAATGCATGCTCCAGAGCTTCTGTGGAATCAGGTGGAAGCTCAACCACAGCTGAGACCACAGCTTAGCCGGCTCCTTCCCCGCTCTACGCTCCTTCCTTCTCGTTCTTTTGTGAGTTCTTCCTCAATCAATCACAGATGCTCATACCTGTTTCAGCATCTGACTTTAGAGAATCTGACCCACAAAGTTGCTGTGAGGTTTAAATGATAAAATATAGATAAAGAGATTAGACCAGTGACTGGCATATATCGAGTATTCAATACATGTTAAGAAATTGTTACTATTCGTAAGATTGGAGCATCAGGAACCTCTTAGTGTAGTAGTAAGGAATGGAAATCTCCTGAGTTGACCAGCGAATTGAATTTTATATGCTAAGGAAAAGCGGCGAGCAAAGAGGGGAGGCAGAGTTTCTGTTTATATCACTGGAGTTCTCTCTGCCTTGAGCAATAAGGGTCCTTACACTGCTGATGAAGTTTTAGCCATTACATACCTCTACCAGCAGAGGGCGCCATTTGCATACAGATACGTTTTTCTGCTGCTAATCTGAAGCAGGTTTATCAAAGCAGCCTAGATTGGCAAGGAAGATCAGGTAGGTGACAGAGCAGAAAGGGCCTTAAGATTGGCATGGATAATAGGAGAGCGCAGAGCAGGGAGAAACTTTGAGTTAAACTGGTCAGGGAAGCTTCCCTGGAGGTGAGACCTTGAGCTTGGCACTCAGGCACCGGAAGCAGCGAAGGAAGATAGCATTCCTAGGGAAGCGCCCGCCCAGGCTAGGTGATTACGGCCAGGGCAGGGCAGTGGCCAAGAAGCCAAGAGACCGAAGAGGGCGACAGGACCATGATGCTACCGAGTGGTCTAGAGGGAGGATGATGGGCCCACTGACGGGGGGTAGATCAGGAAGGACATGGTTTTCATGGAACACTGAGCGCACCCTCTCCAACTGGCTTGACTGTCCTGTTATGATGTCCTCTGCAGTACTCTCCCCTTACATGGCTCATCCAACACGCCATAATTCTGAAGGATTCCTGCTTTGCGTGGATTCCAGAAACCAATACTCAGGGATGTTGATAGTGTCAAGATTCCACTGGCTCTTTCCATTTAGAATAAAGAAGCCCAGAACCACCCCACAGCTTGCCCTGGCTTCTGGCCTGTAGGTTGTGTATCCATCAGTCAGGGTGGAAATTAATGCAGAGAGAATAAACCAGAACGTCCTAGCGACTAAGGAAAGTACAGAGATAAGTAACAAATTTGAAAGGGGACAGCTCTCCAAGATTGGAGTTCAGTCCTTGTTGGAGAAGGTGTGGTTGCCGTTCTGTGATAGGGGAGTCCTCAGGGTTGTCCTGGACAGAACTGGTCCCCAGTCCTAGAGCCGGCAATGTTGGGTAGAGAACCACGGGCTGGGGCGGGTGGCCTGAAAGCCTTCCGCTGGCGCGCCCACAAAATTCTCCAAGAAGTTGCTTACAAGGGATGTGTTGAATTCATGGCAAAGCCTTGCAGGGCTCGCTCAGAACTCTCTGGGAAGCTGCCTCAGGGGAGTGCTGCATGCTGGACTTTGCAGGAGACTGGGCGGGATTACCCCCTGCCCCACCAGGAATCCACCCAAGGGGTGTGGCTGAACTCGCCATGAAGAAGCCTGCAGGGGCACGCAGGAAATTGCTGGGAGAACTCCACGGAGATTCACAGATCGAAGGGCAAGTGGGAGAGAAAATGCAATGAAACCAGAAGAGACGTCTTCCCGCTTCCTCAAGCGCCCTCTAGTGACAATATTTAGTATTGCACCAGCTGCAAGGGAGAAATGTTGGGAGTACCTGGAAGGGTGGGTATGGAGCCAGAAGACAATAGATTGATAACTAGAACGGGACATTAGTGAATTCCACTGGGGAGTGGGGAGAACTGCCATAAATCCTCCTTGGATAATATTACTTGGGGAAATATTTATGCCAGCTGAGAAATGAATCAAAATAGAGAATAAATTAGAAAAAGATGAATTGTAAAAGAAAATGCAAAGAACAATTAAATAGTGATTTTATTTAAGACTAAATAAAACTACAAAAACTAAAAATGTACTTAATGATATGAAATTCAACATAATTGTTCTACACTTGATCTTAGCCAAAAGGGCTAAGTGATCTTAACAAAATTATAAAAATAATCCTTAATATTATATATAATAAATATTCTATGATTATAAACTGGGGTTTTTGTATCACTGTTTACTTTGACAAAAACTAGGACCCAAAGAAAATGTGTTTAAAAACTGGGAGGTAGTATTGGCTCGGCTCCTATAGCTCAATCCGCTAAGGCGCCAGCCACGTACACCTAAGGTGGCGGGTTGGAATCCCCAGCCCGGACCGCCAAAACAACAATGACAGCTGCAACCAAAAAATAGCTGGGCGTTGTGGCGGGCGCCTGTGGTCCCAGCTACTTGGGA